CCCCCCCCCCCCCCCCCCCCCCCCCCCCCCCCCCCCCCCCCCCCCCCCCCCCCCCCCCCCCCCCCCCCCCCCCCCCCCCAAACGGTTAAGATGAAATAAATATAATTATTTAATTCTTTGTTCTTTATAAATAGGACAGTAAGACATTTAAATGCTGAGTAGAGATTTTTAACTTCAATTTTTTAATGATCTCTTTGTCTCTGTTAATATGATTAGGGCTATCGACATCGCAGCTTGTGCGCAGTACAATTGCGCACTAGTTATGTCGACAGACAGTATGTGTTTTTGCTAGGAATTTTGTTTTTTATTTTCTTCTGTCGTCCCTTTTTGGGTAAAATGTGCACCTCGTGATCTAGAAAACTGTGAAAGCTAGAAAAGTTCTGGAAAAGGTAGGATACTCTCCTCATATTGGAAATTGATCAATACACATTCTTTTCTCAAACACAAGTGCATATTCGGCGCCATAAGCTATAGGAAAAAAATTTGTTTTGAACTTGAATGTTATTTAAATTTCATTAGCATCAATTGTCCGGCGCCATTTGTTCTTAAGAAGAAAAATAATTCTCTGTCTCTGTTCTGTTATTCTCTTTAATTATGTCTTTTAAAGTAACTGAAGTAGAAAATCACAATGAAAGCGGTGCAGTGGAAATCTGCTGATTAAACTGATAAGTTTTGGCAATTAACAGCAGAGACAGAGTCTGTAGACATCGCAACTTGTGCGCAGCACAATTGCTATCTAGTTTTGTGTCGGTTTAAAAATCGAAACTAAGGACGAAATGCTGCCTATTGAGGAAGTTAAATAGTGCAATTGTTGTAGTTTGACATCATAAGATATCTAGTTAAGCGATTTATTTTAATTTATACGAGCGATATTGTTGCAGTATGCGATCGATATAGCTGCTAATATCTTAAATGGTGTTTTACACTGGGTTTTAACAAAAAAATAACACACTATACAATAATTCAGAACTAAGTTATATCGTGGTAGAGATGCGTTTGTACAATTACTTCATGAAAAGCATCACTCATTTCACTCAATCTGAATTTCATGTACACTTATTTGCCATTAAGCAATTGCAGGACAATAATAACAATTGCTCTATGAGGGTGGATAATCTGGAAAAATACCTGAGTAATTTGCATTTGATAGTGGACAGCCATCTCCGTAATCACCTCCTGAGCCCCACCAAGTTGGAAAATATATACCTTGATTTTGAAGTGCTAAAAATATGACTAGTCCAGAAAACGCTACACCACAATCTAGAGCCGATGACAATATGTAGTTATATCTCTCCCACCAATCAAAGGCATATCTACGTATAACAAAATTAAACAAAATGCCGACGAAAAACCATGTACAATAGTTAGCGGCTGGTGCTGGAATAAAATTCGACAATGTCGCCCATATTATGGGTGTGTGAATCATGTATAACCATGACTGATCAGGAAATTTTTTCGCTATTAACCATGCGACAACTGGTAAGACGGCGCCTAAGGGGAAGAACCAGAGTAGATTATAGTAGGATATATCGTTCTTAATAAACATTCTTGTTGGTCCAAGAACTCCCCACAAAACAGATGATGAGAAAAAAACTCTTATATTTGGACAGCCCCAAACGGTATTACCCTCTGCGCAGATGTTTTTAACGCTAACCATTACATAATCAGAGACTATATATGATATAACACAACTGATAATAGTAGAAATCACTTGAGCGAAAAACATTGGACGAGGTGGAATTTTCATATAATGGCCTAGTTTTAAATCATTAAGGTATAATAATGCTTGATATTGAGTGATGTAACCGTACGTTTTGAATGTGATGTTTGGAATAGGATTTCCTGCCATCACAACTCCGGCGATAAACTCAGTTATAATATTCAAACCAATTTGTTGATTACTCGTTGCCTGAATGATACCAACGGGAAGTAATAATACAAAGGAAATAATAACACACAAAAACATCCAATACCAGGGCATTAAATTACCAAAATGACAAACCATACAAGCGAGAAAAAGATTGATGACAAATAATATTGTATACCACCATTCTGGTACTTCGAGATATTTAGTCATGAGTTTAGCGTGTACTTCATTCATGGCCTCTGTTATGGATGTGGTCAATTGTTTCCAAATGTCTTTTCCATAGTATAATAGAACATGGATAATAGCTGCTGGTAAAGCTGCAAAAGACGCCCCATAGGTAATAGCAAAGATAATACCCATTCGTATTGATCCACGTT